AGTGATGGATATACTTGATTATAAGGTATTAATAATGAACGATTGAATGAACCATGAATTGAATCAATTGTTGATATAGCACGATCAATTTCAGCTTGATCATTTTCTAATATTCGTCTTTGTTGCATAACATTTTTCCATGTTGTTTTCGATGTTAATGGAAATGTTGATTTATTTATTGGTTGTTTTTCTCGTTGTTGAAGATAATCTTCTGTTCGATATGTATAATTATTTATTGGTTTAGTAATAATACCAGTTTTATTAATATGAACAACTAATGAAGGTGCAGTTAAGTTCTTTTCATAAAACGAATTTTTCTGATGAAAACGTCGTGAAGTAGTGATCTGAGCCATATCATATGATCTATGTCAAGGGCTTGAATTTCTTTTCTTTACTTTACGCGTTTTTATTCGTTATTTTATGCGCATCAATAGCCCTTTCAACGACAATATCGCTCAATTTTACCTCTACTATGAACGACAACGATTGATCGTTACACATGATAACGTCCATAAACTATTCATTTTAACAACGAATCGTGAAAGAAAAGCGAGTACAAAGATATATAAAAATGAGGCGATTTTTTTTTGTTTAGTAGGTTGATGATTATATAAAAATTTTATTTACCTAATTCAGCTGAAATCGATGGTCGTTTTAAGAAGAATGGACTATAGTTTGCAAGAAAAAGAAAAAGAAAAATATAAAAATTTACGAAAAAAAGAGGGCTTTTTAAATATATTATATTTACGTTGATGAAGAACTTTGACTTTGACTATTTCTGGGTTTGATTGGAGATATAATTGGATTATTTTGATTTGGTTGTTGAGCAGGTCGTTGAAAATTACCTGTTGGAACCTTGAATTGCATAGAAAATGCCGACATTGTATTGGAATTTAAAATATAAAAGAAAGATATTCTATCTTTCTTTTTTCTGTAATGTGGTTATTTTGAAAAAATATTGGAAAATGGTAATGTACGTGTTTTTTTCCTACTGTAAATATGTGGGTTTTCACTGTGAGTGAGGCGCGATATCAATTAGACGAAAACGTTTTCAGTCTGTTTACATTTTTTCTCATTTTTTGTTTTTTAACCTTCAGTTATACCTAATAATCAAAAGTTTTAATAGGCAAGCAAAACGAAAGACACAGTTATTAACAATGATGTGCATCGACTTTTCATGAATCAGATTTTGATTTTTATTAATTTCAATGAATTAGGCCTTGTAATTAAGTTGTACACCCGAGTCTAATAATAGTTTTAATCAACATGTTTTATTTTAAAATATAAAATGAACTTTTTGTTCATTAATTTAAATCAAAAAAAGAAAAGAAAAGTGATGGGCATCAGAAAGATGATGAGGTGAACCAATTGCATTTGTACCATGAAGATAGTTTTAATGACGATTGCTATCATTTCTATCTGTGCCGTAATCATATTCCTGAGAAGA